GCCGAGTCTCGGAGACCCTGAGCACGGAGCTGATCCTCTAGGGGCCTTAGCACACCCTCCCAGGAGCGCTTCATCCTCCCTGTACATATCACAACACTGGCAGTCACCGCGGTTTAGGACGCAGCCTGAGCCAGTGTGCTACTCCAAATAAAATCTGCCCTAACACGGTAGGTGGTCTCCATTTGCTTCAAAAGGATACACAGAGTGTTAAAAGCCTTGGCGTGTTACTGGCTTTAAAAATTAAAGCCAGAAACTTCTCCAACTTCAACCTTAACTCTGGAGTCCAGGAATCCTGAAGGAGAAAACAAAGAGACAAAAATCAAAGCGCTGGATAATAAATGCAGACAGTGTCATGAGGTGGACGTGGCCGTTAGGTTAAAAAACCCTGCCAGAATCATCGTAACTAGAAGCAAGGTGTCTTGCCAGTGAGGTGACACTGTAAAAAACAGCTTTTAGGACATCTGACAAATTCATTTATTCAAGATTCAAATAACCCTGTCCATAATTTGAATAGTTCACAGATTTTAACACGAGCACAAGAAGTAACCATATTAGGTTGAATACCAAAAATAACTCAGTACAGTTTAGGCATGTATGGCACAGGTAGGCATAACACAGTTTTCACTAAGTTACCACACGTTTTCCAAAGAAGAGATTCATTTCCTTACCCCCAGCTGGATAAGAAAAAAAGGACAAACGCTATTCTCTGCTCCAAATACTCCATCATGTCAAGAATTATGCAATACTTTTGGTTTGATTTGTCCCTGAAAAATAAATCATTTATCTCAACTTGCTCATTAAGAAGGGAAAAAACGACTTAATAAAAGAAGTGTGACGGCAACGAGCTTTCTCAGAGCAATCTTCCTCAACGTCTTCACACAAAGACATCTTCCATCCAAACCAGGACATTCCAGAACAGTAAGTTGTAGCACCAGGAATTCCCATAGACTTACCTCTCAGACCTGGCCCCATCTCCCTCACTCAGTCCTTCCCATCCCCTCCACTTCCTCCTCTTCTCCAGCCCCATCTCCTCCCCAACACCTCCTACCCATCCAATCATAATACCCAGTAAGTTATCTGACTTGTGGAAAAAATACTGCCAGGTGAGCAGAAAGTTCTTATATTTTTAAAGATTTTGTAACTTCCAAGCACTGCATGGTTATTTAGTTTATAATGTGTGGAACAGCGCAAGACTCTCTGTGCTCAATCATATAAAAAGAATCTCGGGAAAGGACGGCCATGTTGGCCAACATAAATCCAGACATCACAAAAAACAAAGTGAAACAAAATAAACAGTGATCTTACTTGGGACATGTAGACTGCCAGGTAGACTGCTCTGCTGTTGATTACCACTCTGTATGAACAAGCTTATACTTTCAATTTAATTACTTACTTTATGATGTAAAAAATTACAAGTGAAAATATAATGACAGGGATGACTGGAATAAAACTTCTCTAGGCAATGGAATCCCTTACCTTTTTCTTTCCTGTGCAGATTTTTTTCTGTGACTTTGGCTTTGAGAATAAGAACATTTCCCAGATCTGATGGGCACTTGACTATCAAGCTTCCAAAAGAAGTTTAATGAGATGAAGGCCGAGCTCAGCGGGAGAAGCACTGGGCTGGTTCTGCTGTATTGTCTTAGAAAAGTTACTTCCCCTCTTTATATCATAGTTTCTCCATTTGGAGAATGTAGACTTTAAACTATATTGGTGATTGTCTTTCTT